CAAAAAGTCAACTTTTTATTTTCTTTTCTTTGTGTGCAGTACAGGAATAAAGGGGAAGGGAAAAAATGGCCTTAGGTGGCTATGTGGTACTGTTTAGTACCCTAAGAGGGGCAGTAAATAAATAAAGGGCAAGAATCTAAATGACTAGCCAAAAACTGTTTTTTCGTAAATGTAGTGCGCGGCCGAAATGGGAGATAAAACAAGGAAGGAGGGAGTACATTTTAAGAACTTTTAACTTAAGTGCCCATTAGTTCTAATATTTAACGTAAAAATCGTTTTGTTTTAACCGAACTATAAAATATTACCTCCCTTTATAAATATCACAAATATCTTTACTTTTTACCTAGTATTTATTTGATTTTACATAAAGCAATGACATATTTATAAAGTCAAAATAAAACTTTATATATGTATATTACACAAATACAGAGTATATGTGTAGATCACCTTCCAACTAGTAAGAAAGTGTCAAGGCGAGAGGCTCCCAATTCAACTCCAAGTAATGACTTGAGTTGGAAATACACTCTTTTCATTGGTGTTTGATTGAAGCTCAATTTGCATTCACCTAGATATTTTTTTGGTCGATTCTAGGTGCTCAAAGATGATGTGTCATCATTCTTTGTAGATCAAAATGAGAACATTGTTTTGGCACAGAAGAATTATATGTAATTGATTTATGGTCATCTGTCCTCAATATTACAAAAGTGAGGAAAAAAGACAAAAATGTGACTTCTTTTTTATATTTCCAAAAATATGACCAACTTCACAATTATACCCTGCAGTGACAAAGTGACTCCTGACGAAGTGACTCCGGCAACCATGACTCCGGGCACAGTGACTCTGGCCACAGAGGCACCGATCACAGAGACTGCCCGCCCACCAGCCACAGTGATTACCCGCCACCGGCCACTTGGACTGCCGGCCATAGTGACCTCTGACCACAGTGACTCGGCCAAAGTGACTGCTCGTTCACCGCCTACACTGACTGTCCGTCCAATCTGGCCACTGCTGCCACTTTTCGGGTGCCGCCATCTGGCCCACCTGGACCATTGTCGTTGCCAACTTCCTCCCCTGCCCCCAACCCCCCTCCATAACCCCTAGCCCCCCGACCCTCAAACACCCATCACTACCGATGGAGCCAAACATCAAGATCTACATGGATCTGTACAACCATAGGGTCGACGATGGATCTGCCCTACCACCTGCCATTGCACTACGACTTCCTCACCCCTTCCGCCATTTTCCCTCCCCCATCACCCTTCATCTTCCCCACCCTAGACCTCCAAAACCCTATGCCGCCTATCCAGAACCTCTAAAACCACTAAATTCTCAGCTCTTACTTAGCGAGATAGACGAACGGTCTCAGGCTAGGTAGTTTAGTGTGTTGTATACGGACCTTTATTATCAATCAACAAGATACGACTCACTGCTACAAAAACATCAGCCCATCATACTTGCATATCATATCTTCACACACTCTCCACTCGAAACTCTAGGGTTACGTGTTGGGCCCTCGGGTTGAAGGAATAAACCTCAACAAGTGTGGCTGCTCCTAATTGATTCATTAATATTAGAAGTTGTGACCATCTCTGCTATATAATAAGAAGCTCCCAATCTATACACAGTTTCATTTATATGATGGTTTACCAAATATGTGTGTATGTTTATCTGATATTTGAATTTTTTCAGAAATTGTTTGAAGGCTTGTGATGTTAGTGTTGAGGGTAAAATGTTCAAACTCAAAAGAAACATGAATTTGGGTAGCTTAATTTACAATACAGAAAATGGAAATCTTAAAATGCTCAAAGGATAAAAATCAACCAATTGATTCCCTGCTAGAAAAACAGAGACAAGCCCATGAATTGAATGTTGAGTTAGATAGCATAAACGTGAGATGTGAAGTTTATAGCATGAATCCATGTAATACAATATGAATTCCTGTTTTTAAGTGTGTAAACATGTTTAGATAGGGCTCCATGTTAAAAAAACATTGTGTTGTTTTTCAATAAAATGTGTTTGTTATATTGACAGTTTGTTTATGTATTTCCTTGTTATAATAGTTATAATTTCATTACAACACAAATTGCAACCAAAATTGAATATTATTAATGACCAAAAAAATATTTTAATAATATGAGAATAGTGACCAGTATTAATTATGGAGAGCATACAATTACCAAAAAGTGTTTTTAATGAGGGTATATGTACTCTCATCATACATTTTTTAAATGATGGGACTGTCTCATCATTATACGTCTTGAACTGCGGAAATTGTAGTGAGGGGTCACTAAAAGTTATTTCGTGTCACTAAAAGTTTTTTATGACAAGATCTGGACTTTTAACCACGGTATCTCCTTTATTATAAAATTCGATATGTTTTTTAATTGACCATAAAATGAAAAAATATATACAACTGAAAAACGAAATTGGCATGCCACATGACAAGCAAATAGGTAGGGGGTGAACATCACCCTCCTTTGAGATGTGAACAAAATCAGACTACTTTACAAGAGTTATTTAGTATCACAAGAAATGATAAAAACATTAATTATTCTTTCATACCTATCATAATTTAGTCATTCATTAGAAAATTTTAAAATCATATAATAATTCATATTTTACTAAAGCAAAATGGCTCACTGAAATGTATGCGCTTCTTTTTTATGAAGCAGCAGTCAGTCATGCAAGTTTCGACGGGATCTTCACTATGGGTCATCCGCAAGTAGTATCTCTGTGCTTTAGTATGGGGGTAAGACTGCGTACATTTGACCCCCCCTACACCACCGTAGGTGAGAGAACCTTTGCGGCACTGGGGTGATGATGATGAATTCATATTTTACTAAAAAAAACATAATAGGGTAAATACTCTAATAGATTGAGTAAAGGGAAAAACATGGATAAGCTCATGTAATTGAGAACGTTGCATAAAGGTTCATGTATTTCATTTTTTTACAAATTTATGCTCGTGTTTACCTCCGTTATCACCAGAGGGTTCTCGGGCTACGATCATTACAAAATGACGATGTGGACTGTTATTCCTCCAAATGACTGCTGCGTGGGATGGAATTTGTCCAGGTCATTAAAATCTTTTGAATTAAACACATACATCACTTAACTACACCTTAGGAGCCCAAATGACGTATTTTGACGAGATTTGTCGTACAGAGATGAATGTTGCTCCACAATTGGTGGTGGTGCTCTTCAAAGTAAGTCCATCGTTGTCGTTTTACACAAATTATTTGAATAATTGGATGTTCGACATTGTGTGTGGCATCGTTTAAGGCTTGGTGTGATTTATGTTTGTCAAGTAATGACAGAACTAGCTTGTTAGGATGTGTGGTTGTAAACAGTTGTTTTTGTGACTGCACACAACATTGATGTACATGCTGCGAATGGGTGATGAACACGTCAACTTGTGTATTCACCATGATGGAAAATGAGATTGTCTGAAGCAAAAAAAATGTGGGAGGTTAGATGAAGAAAATGAAAAATCTGGACATCAACTACCTTAGTAAGTTTGTGTTACAAGGTTTTGCTCAAGACTTGGGTTGTAATAATGGTGTAGATGTGTGGTTTGGAAGGTTTAGCATTAGGGAGGTGTGTGACCCTGTTGCTTTGCAATAGATTGTCTCTGATAAATATGTACTAGACGTGTTGTTTTCAACATAATGGACCAACACATTGATGTGTATTTTGTTTCCAAAAAAAGTAAAATGAAAATTTATCAAAACCCCTCAAAACCTTTGAACTTATAAATTGGAGCCCAAAGTTGTGCACCTCCCCTAACTCCCTAAGTGTTGAGCCAGTAAGTCAAGTGGAGTAACTCAGGGATGTGGTGTCGTGGTGTCCTTATTTTTTGAGCGGATAATAAAAAGAATCAGCAATGTCAACCCATTCAAGGGTGTTTGACCGTTTGGTGTATTTTTGTATTTTCAGATTTATAGCCCATTTTTACTTCTCGAAACTGCCACTTATTCTCCATTGACCCAGTGAAAGAAATGTCATTTTCTTCAAAGTTCAAAGAATGACAGAAAGAATGTGATGAATTAATTTTGAGGCGATTAGCCCATCAAACAAGAACGTCAACAGTTTCAACATCTTATTCGCAATTTATTGAAGAATGTTTATGGGAGCAAGCAGTGCCCAACAATAAATATACTATCGTATGTAATATTTGCTATACTATGTCTCTCAAGGTGACAAAGACGTGTGGCATCAAACCAATCTTGACTTGCAATAGCCCCAACCCTTATCATATCTATCAATTTCAACCACCACCACCTGTCCACCCTATCAACTACCAAAGTATCAAACCATCCAACAATACAGCAATCCTCATTTGTTTAGGAAATAAATGGAGAAGAGAAATAAGGGCCGAAGCACCATTCGGAATAGGAATCGAACCGACCCGGAAAATAAAGGCTTACCTTTTAAGGCTATGAGTTCACCCTTTCCCTTATCCAGAATCAGACAGTCTGGAACTGGACCAAAACAGGCTAGTAAAGGAGAATTGCAAGTATTTCTTGCGCTTTCTCACCACAAACTTTAGTTTAGCGGAACAATATATGAAATGGCCAACTTAATACGCTATTGTGGTCATCCCCACTGAAAGGCCACCTTGTGTGTGCGACTTTCAAGTCAGTGAAAAACACACAACACCACCATGAAATAGCACACACACATCTATTTACCTTAAAATACTGATGAATGGCAAGGGCATACCCTTTAAGTTACCAGAGAACACGAGTGAATGTGTTACATGGTGAGAGTTTAATCACTAGACCACTCGTAGTGCTCTACCAGTGCATTTCTGCCCCAATGGGTCCAAGGGCACACCCTTGCCATTATCAGAGAAAGAACATGAGTGGGCTTGTTACACCGTGAGAGTTTAATCACGAGACCACTCGTAGTGCTTTACCTGTACATTTCTGCCACAATGGGTCCAAGGGTATCACTTGGTACACTGTGAATGGAAACAAGACGGTCACAACAACATGCCCTGAGGGACTAGTCATTTACTCATTTGTGCCATTGATCTCTAGTGCCCCATGAAAGAGGGAAGGAAAGACATGAAAAACTAAGAAATGATAATAAAATGACTCATTCAATGTAGATCTTGTTCAGCACACAGAAATTTCCAATTAACCAAACAGTACAGCAATGAGCATCCTGTAAATTTGTTGAGAGAAACTAGAAGGGGGTGGAGGGTGTGCGAGTCAAGTAGCCATGATAAGCAAAGTACCAGGGCATTTGCCTCCCCATAGAAACTTCAATGTTGCCCATATGACACAGAATTACAGATCCACACACACAGTCGTATGACTTAGTAGGCTATACTAGAAATATGTGCCCTCCGGTGGCTGGACCAGTTTGCGGTTATACTGAGCTGCCATCTCCTTCTTCAGCTGTGTCAGTATGTCTTCCATGGTATAGTTTCTCTGCCAATTCATGAGAAGATTAAACTTCTTTGCATCAACCTATACAACAATAATATGCACATCAGACATTAGGATCATAATACTATGATAATATCCATTTAAAAAATGTTTTTCTGTGCACATGGCATACCACTCCTGTTTCATGATTCACGCAAGTCATGTTGATTCGTGAATGGAAACGAACACTGGGAGGCTTCTCTGGGTAATCTTTGTCACAGAACAATTTCAACTGGTATATACGCCCTTCATGTACAGACTGCCATTAAAACCATACACGTAAAACTCCACTAATTCAAGCCCATATATTAAGCCTTCTCGTATTCTCACTTTTGTAACATGGTTATGTATGCCTCATAAATCATTATTAAAAGATACATATGTGTATATTAGTATATATGGGTTCGTCTAAAACATGGAAAATACTAGGAGAAAGTAGCAAATATTGGGGAATATAAAAGATACGCAGTATGTTAAAACTCAACAAGTTTTATTTAGGTATCTGTTGATGCTCATTTTATTACTGGTCTAAGTATTTTATAAAGATTAGGATATTTAAATGCATGCATATTTAATGATAATCGTGTTTGATTTTCGTATGCATATTCAAAGGCAAAACCAAGCATAAGAAAAAGAGTGCCATTAGCAATTTTGTTTCCTTTCTTTAGCATTAACCGGGATCCATGCACACCCTATAGATAGCATTACAATATAAAATATTAGGCCATTCGGGTATATAGTTTTCATTTCTAATCACTGCACATACCTACCTACCACGATGACAAAAAAAAACTCTATTCATTTGGGTTTCATGTCAATGAGATCATGAGGATAAGGTACACTAATCCATTAAAAGGAATGGTAACCAGTGTAGTTAAGAAGAAATCAGTAACAGCTATACACAGATAACACCACAACATCCAAGCCTTAGTCACAAAAGATAGTTGGGTCGGCATCCACAGATAACACCACTACTTCAAAATAAGTTGAGCAAACAATGAAGTTGACTAAATGGAAATATAATGCTCACATTATGGGGACCAATAATAGTGCCTGTCCAGGAACGCATGTAGATATCATCTCCATCATCCATACCATAACTCACTGTCCCATCTCCAATACCTTTTTCTCCACGCTCAAGTTCCTCCAGCAATCTAAAATTGCGAGGTACTGGAAGGAAATTAACAATTTTTAAGATAATGAACTAATTAAAGCAGTAGACATACTTAAATAACTACCCGTAACTTATTATGATGATGCAACGACATTAGAAGAATATGACCTAATAAGTTTTATTCCTATCTAGTTCAAGTGCAAGTGTGCAACTACTACTAAAATATCAGAAATCCTTGAGCGAAAACATTTACTAGTAATTGCGCAGTATGGTAAGGCTACAAAGGCTAGGGATCATTTGTGTACACTTCACACATGCAGGATGTACTTGATCAATGATCACTGAGAATTGCATTATTCGGATTGGATTTGGTTCTTAATTTCATAATTATTAATTACACTGAAGTGATAAGTTATCATATCCATGCAATTCCATCTCTATATATGATGTATGCCACTAAATTGTTGGTGAGAAACAGAACCCAAGCATATGAAATAAAAAATGAATTTCCCAAATACTTTAAACTGATAATATAACCTTCATAGACAGCATTCGAGCGAAAAAAATCCTCAACGAAGCATAAGTAACAACCATAAAGAGGGGGGGGGGGGCATGAAAAAATAAGTGTATACACAAATGTTACATCTGTAACCATTCCCTTCAACTCCATTCGCCTAACAGAAACAGTAATCTGATAAAAAAGACTTAACTTGGTAAAGAACAGGCAAACTGAAGCCCCCCTAATGTTCCTTGATTAACTTAAAAGCGCTAGACATACAAACTGAAGTTCTCAACTAGCAACAGCACCATAATTCTTGAAATAGAGCAATTTGATGCACATGTTGTACAGTAAACGATATATCCTTCTGAAATTAGTGCAATCAAACTTTACTCAACCATCAAGCATTAAAATGTAACACAGTTCATTTTAACGACAAGACTGAAACTGACAAAAAGCATGTCAAATAATAAAAGGGGTTGAAATTACAAAACCGAATACATGTAGTGAAGCCGCGACGGTAATCACGTATTCACGTGAATGGAATTCACATACTAGGCCACAAGGCCGTGATCGGATGCAATAAATGACAGTTATTCAACAAATCCGCACACACACAAAAAAATGAATTACGAGTTTTTCATTAACATGAAGACCCTGAAAACAGCCCGAAATGAGAGACGAATAAAATCAGCAGATCAAGGACATCGCAGAGAAACGAGTTGACTTACCCACGACACTCGATCCTGCTGAGCCAAGCGTCATGGTTGATCGCTGTTGCTGCCCGACGTTTAGGGCGGATGGGGTTTCCTGGGAGGAAATATAGGCCGATTTGATCGTCCCGAAAAGGGAAAGCAAAGACACAGATTACAGATTGGGTGTTCGTGGAGCGGAGAGTGAGGGCACAGAGTCGTCTAATCGATGTGTAGTAATAAACGCACAATTAAAATTAAAATATTAGGACAATCAATGGATCACCGGGTCAATTCGAGAACAAAGTATTTTTTTTTTTTTACTTCAGGGGTTTGGAGAGAGCGCGGTGTAACCTCACAATCAGCTGTACTGGAATGTTTGATTGACAAAATACTTCTTCAATCCCAAAAATGATTGGTCAAGTTTGACCAATTATATTATTTAATACAAAATCATTTAAAATATAAAAACTATATCAACTGCTTGTGTTTTTCTTCTTAATCATATAAGAAGGGTGATCCATTGTTGAATGCCCCAAATGTACAAGATATTAAGCATTCCGCAACTTGGACTACATTTAGGGATTAAGATTCATATTACTAGTTTTATGAGTTTATATTTGTTAACTTTAATCCAGTTTAAATTACTCTATCCTAGGTTATTTGTTTGTCATAATAGTCATCGTTAAGCAAGACTGCATTGGTCACCGTGTTTTTTGTTTGTTATTACCATTTTATCTTATACAGACTACAATGGAAGATTGTACCATCACATCGAGTTCAAAGGTCACACATAATAATCATCAATGGTCTCCTCATGAAGACAAGATACTTATTTAGGGTTGTTTGAAATTGATCAACCAAGGTTGGAAAGCTGAAAATGGACTCAAAACAGGTTTTTATCAACATGTGCAGGAGTGGATGTCTACAAAAATCTCTAGTTGTCATATTTTGGGAGATCTAAATATCAACAAAAGGTAAGGCATTTAAACACAATATAAGGAATTTTCTATGATTTATGAATATATAATGCTCATTAATTAATAAAGCAACAAACTCATTTTATGTTAATTATTATTGTGAGTTTTTCTTTATTAATATTTAGTCCCTCAATATTATGTTTAGTAGCTAATTAAGTACGTGACTTAATTGTGGAATGCTACACTTTAAAATAAGCATAATATTCAAATAGTCCCTAGTCTAATATTATTAATTTGCGACATTAATAATTAATAGACCAGTATGTGGATTAACTGATGACTATATTCCACTAGTCATGAGTATAGATATATCAAGTTAATAACATAGATGTTTGTTAATGAACAAGTTCATTGGACAGACCCAACTTAAAGACACTACTAGGTTATATGTCATCAGTGTTGTCCTCAATAATGATGATGTGCTATATTCTTATACTTGAGATAATCATGGCTACTTACATGAGAATTAATATGCATTAACACCATTAAATGTTATCTTTAAATGGGTAATTATAAAGGTGGTGATTGTACGTATTATGAACCATGTAGTGGTATGTGAATTATCAAGATAGTTTTTGTCACTCTAGTATGGTGAAAGAAAGATATCTATTGGGCCCCTTGACAAGTAAGATTAGTCAGCATGACAATGCTCAAATGAAGTGTCATTTGTTCAAGATTAATCTTACTTGTTAATCAAGAAATATTAATTGAGAATAACAAGGATGACACGACCTAACCTTGTCTCAATTAAGATATCGTTTGACAAAAGAGAATTATTCGCACAAATTAATCATTAAAAGGTTATGTCAGATTTAATTGACATTTATATATTTTGGATAACATAATGCCTTGCTAGAGGCCGCTTATGATTTGTGAGGCTCGAATTAATTTTCTATCCCACTGCCAACGATATATAAACCTACAGGGTCACACACCTAAGTGATTTGGATCATTAGTGTTTGTTAATAACATTAAAATAGTTTTATTAGCCCAATTCGAAATAGGTTTTCGAATGATATTGGGCTAGGGCCTCCAGGAGAGTTTTATTAGCTATAAAGCTCCTTCTTTCCTCCTCTTATAAATAGGGCTAAGGAGATCCACGAATTTTAAGAGTTAAAAATTCACACCTAAAAATCTAGAGAGAGAGAGAAAGAAGAGAACCCTAGCACGTTCTCTGCGGACGATCCAGTCACGTGCGTGTGGATACCGGTAGAGCTCAGGATCGTTTTCTCGGACTGTCTGACATCCTTGCTTAAGATTGCTAGGTAAGTCCCTCTTATGTCTTTTGATTTTGTTTATAGTAAGAACCTCAGATCCGATTGTTTACTTTTGGGCAGTAAATTTTCCGTTTATTCCGTTGCGGTTCTTTGCCCGAAACCCAGTAAAGGGATCAGGTGGAAGAACTAGGGAGCCATGTGCAGCCCCAAGTCACAAGGCGGAATGGGTTTTAAGCTACTTTAGGAAAGCAAAGCTCGAAACTAGTGACAGAACCACATTCTCTTGTTGGGAGAGTCCTTAAAGCTAAGTATTTCCATTATAGCTCTTTAGGCGAGGCTAAACTTGGGAGTAATCCATCCTATATATGGCGGAGCATTATGGCAGGCCAAGCAGTTGTTGTAGCTGTGGGAAGATGGAGAGTGGGATCCGGAAAGGAGATATCAGTTTGGAAGGATGCGTGGCTGCCTAGAAAGGGATCTCGGAGAGTACGGTCTACCCGACCGGATGGAGTGGCAGATATGAATGTTGCTGCACTAATGTGTGAAGATGGAAAGTCGTGGAATTTACAACGTATTGCAGCCATTTTTTTTTTTGAGGAGGCATCCGTTATCTCAAGCATCCCGTTGAGTTTGAGACAGATCAAGGACGGCTATAGGTGGAACAACGACTCGAAAGGAAAGTACATTGTACGAAGTTGTTACAGAAGACTTGTCGGGGAACAGGCTGCCATAGATGGAGATCTTTTGACGATTGCCTGGAATAGTAAGCTGCCACCAAAAACAAAGTATTTTTCTGGCAATAATCTTCTGGAGTTCTTCTGACGGCTGACTTATTAAAGAAAAGGCATGTTCAGATAGTTGGTTGCTGCCAAATCTGTAAAAGGGACGAAGAGACAGTCCTACATCTATTCATGAAGTGTCCATTGATAGCGGGGGTTTGGGAGGAGGCAGGTTTTTCGAGTCTGATGCAGGGAGAGTCCCTCTCGGCTTGTTTACAGAAAGCTGCTAAGGACCTTGCTGAAAATTATTTAAGCCATGTTATAATGCTCCTTTGCAGTATTTGGAATATGCGTAACAATATAATTTGGAAAGCTCACCTTTTTTCGAGTGGAAATGTTAAAACAGATTGCTTGGTCCACGTTGGTGAGCTGGAAGGCAGCTCAAGCTTTGGGCACCAGGTTATCACAAACACAGGTGGACAGTTTGGAGGCAAAATGGCAGAAACCAAATTCGGACTTTGTAAAAATAAATGTTGATGATGCAAATAACGCACAAGCAGGTAGATGGGCTTGGGGATGGATTTGCAGAAACACTAATGAGCAATTCATAAAGGCTCGGTCTAGGAACAAGAGAGGCGTGTGGACTCCAACTGAAGCATGTTAGGTGTGTATTTTAGCTCAGGTCTTCAACCAAAACAACTCTCACACACCACCTCAGTATTGTTTAGCCACTCCACTCACCTTGTTCACCACTCGCTCACACTCCAACTCCACACTCAAGAAGGAAGAGGAGCTCGCTGGTATTGAACTCACCGTATTCCCAAAAGGAAAGAAGAGCACTCAGTTATATTAGGCTATTATTTCCTCACGGGTGTCAAAGACAAACAAAGGGTGGGGGGCTCCAGATAGGCTAGCAAAATTCAGAAGGCCAAGAGAAAAATAATACCAAGTCAATAAGAGTTGGCAGCGGATAGGAAAAGTCAGGCTAGCTAGATCAGTAAGAGTGTAGGAAGTAGGGGTAAACATAGGGTGCAGGCCTTAACATAATAAGTGGAAGGGAGGCCTTAGTAGGACCAATACCTCCAACATTCTCCACCTTATTGGTCCTAGGTGGTGTAAAGTAACAAATACACGGTTGTGAGGAGACTCATCATCGCTGAATCATTACAAATGCATCTTTTAGATCATACAAGTAATAGATGAGAACCAAAATTCCATTTCGGACCAAGCTTACCATGTAAACCTAATTCACGATGGACTTAACTCTACCAATCGGTCCTCGAGTTCAGAACCTAAACCATCACAATGCTATTAACAGACACGAGGTATGTTAATAGACCACACAAGCAAGCAACTGGGAGAAGTTGGGGATTCCAACTAATCCAACACACACACAAAGCAAGTACACAGAAAATAAAAGAAACAACATTATTTCTATAACTAGCACAGGTAGAGCTCACATAATCACTTGGTATCACATTTTCAAAACATAAAGAAAATAGCATACCAAATATCACAAAGAATTTAATTAATAGATAAATTAAGCACATGTAAAGCAAACTCGATAAGAGGAAATATAGTCAAACAATTTGCACTTATCATTTCTCTCATGCTTCCTAATGTCTCTATCTCGAATAATCTGACAATCATGCAACTCAAGCATATTGCACATAACACATATCATGCTCCACCTTAATAGAAATATTATTTTCTTTATTTTCACCATGAAAATCATTTTCAATTACAAATTTGAGTTTGGTTTCAACAAGTAAATCAGAATGAAATTCAACATGCATATGCTCCACCTCATTTGGAGCAACATCAGGAGAAACAAGCAAGCAAAGATATTCATTTTCAACAAAAATGACATTTCTACTTATCAACACATTAAAGCAAATTTCACTCATACACCAAAGCGTATAACATTTCATGCATTCATGATATCCTAAGAAAACAAATTCCTTAGTCCTACGTTCAGATTCATCATTTTCATGATTCACATAAGCAACACAACCAAACACTCTCAAATTTGACAAGTCAAGCGGTTTGCCCATGAACACAGATTCAGGGCATTTCCCTCCTAAGGGAACAGACGGGGACATATTAATCAAATAAGCAGCATAACAAATAGCTTCCCCCCAGAACTTATTAGAGAGTCCAAATGAAGCTAACATAGCCCTCACCCTCTCTAATAAAGTTCTAACGATCCTCTCAGCAACCCCATCCGGTTGGGGTGTGGAGGGAATAGATTTATGCATAGAAATACCCCAAGTATCACATAAATCACCAAACTGATTATCACATAAATCAAAACCGACATTGGTTCTTAAAAAAATTATTTTCTTACCGGTTTGCTGTTCAAAAATGGTTTTCCAGTTTTTAAACTTATCAAAAACATCAGATTTATTCTCAATCAACAAAACCCACACTTTCTTTGAAAAATCATCAATCAACGTCAGAAAATAATTTTTCCCACCATGAGTGGAAACACTATAAGGACCCCACAAATCAGCATGAATACAATCAAGCACATCAGTATACTTAGGCAGATCAAGAAAACTAACTCTAGACTGTTTTCCTAGCACACATGGTTGCATACAATTCACAGAATCAAGAACAGGTTCAACATGACACACATACAAGTTGTTTTTCATCTCAGCTTTGAAAACAACTAAACAACCCTTCACAACTTTCATGATTCCTTTTCCCCATTTTCCCTTTTAACCCTCATTTTCAAGAGAAGAACAAGATAGAAAATTACAGCACAACTTAGGAACATGCCTAACATTCTTCAAAGTAGGCACATAACCAGAAGAGAACCTAAAGCATACATCTCCTATTCCTAGCACATTGCATTTCTTATCATTTGCTAAAGACACAACGACATGCTCAATCTCTCTATAGTTTGAAAAAAAACATTTTTCAAATGGGACATATGAAAAGTACAACTAGAATCTACCACCTAATCTGATTTACCCAAAGAATCAGATATCACAGAACTCAAGTAGTCATAATCACATAGATTTCTCATCATAAAAACATCACCTAAATCATCTTCACACGTAGTCAAATTAGCATGCTCACTATGCTTATTTATCCTAGATTTAGGACAGTCTCTTATGAAATGACCAAATTCATGACAATAATAGCAACATCTCGAATTAGATCTAGACTTAGATCTATGTTGTCTACTATTAGCTCTACCCTAATAGCATGCTAAATCTCAAATTAGCATGCTCACATGCATAACCTCCTCGGATTTTCTACCCTCACCCATCTGTTTTAAATCTAATTCCTTACTCTTAAGACCATTTACCACAATGTCAAGAGTCACATTATCTCTACCATACTTAATAGCAGATTTCACATCACTAAAGGAATCAAGAATAACATTTAAAAGAGCAATAAGAGAATAATCATCTATATGTTTATCACCACACAACTTAATATCCGAAATAACATCTAGTTTGGTAAAAACATCTAGATTTTCTTCAATGTCCTTAGACATATCTAGTCTAAATTTGAAGAACTTTTCAAGTAAAAACATCCGGCTAGGCAAACAGGTCTCGGTATAAAGTTCTTCAAGTTTATTCCACAAAGATTTGGCTGATTCTAAAATTCTTACTTTTCTGAGCACACAATCAGATAAGTTCAAGTAAATTGTAGAACAAGCATGTTCATTCATTTCTGCTTTTTTTTCTTCTGTATCGGAAGTCAAATAGGTTTCACTAATGGCCCTATATGATTTTTGCTGAATTAATATGCACTTTATTTTCTGTTTCCATATGTGATATGTTTGTAATTTCCGTATGTTTATTTACGCTTTTAGTTAGTTTTGATTGTTTAATATTTCGGAAATTACACACTTTCGGTGTAATAGTTTAGTTTGTTAAATTCTTGTAATTTGTTTAGATTAGGTTTATTCTGAGCTTAAACAGGTCCAAGATCAATCAAATGATCAATGGTGAAGGAAGGTGCAAGAGTACAAGACAAAAAGAAGGAAAAATCCTGATTTTGGTCTATACTCGATCGAGTATATACATATACTCGATCGGGTATCTGGTTGACATTTCAAATCGGATCGGATCCGAAAACAAAGGAACATGCAGGAGAAGATTTTCCCACGTTCGAGTGTCTATACCCGATCGGGTATGCTTATATACTCGATCGGGTATGCATATAAAATCTACTCGAGTATTGATCGAGTATTGACCAAATTCTGATTTCTATACATACTCGATCGAGTATGTATACATACTCGATCGAGTACTCGATCCTGCACCTCAAAAAGCCTATAAATACACCTCCTTTCCTTCACTTTTAGACACCAATTCACATATACTTCCTAGCTCAGTTTAGACAAGTTCTTTCTTTATATTTTTCATCATGTTTAGTCTCCAAATGAGGAGCTAGACTCTTCCATCTTGGTTTTGCTACTTTGAAGCTTAATGATTTATAAGTTGTGAGTTATTTTCTTTAATCTTCTTCCTTGAATATTAATTACTTCCTAATCATATTCCATATTAATATATTGAGCATTACTTAAAGTATCAACTAGTCTTGTTCTATATATTAAATATTACTAGAATTAATCGGTTAATACGCTTGTTATTAATTCGGTTCTTTCACGGTAGTAAACTTGGGTTGTTAATGCATGCTTCTCATGGTTAATAAGCCAAGGGGAATTAATTATATTGATTGAACCAATAAACCGCTTGTGTTGAGGTTATCAATCTCAATCGTTTTCATCTTGATTTTATTGCTACTATCAAGTTAATATACGGCGCTTGTTCTATATTGACTCGGTAGTAAGTTTTATTAATGAACGCTTCTCGTTATTAATAACTACCCTCGATGAACTGGATATACTCCTCGATTGAGTATTCGAGAGGAAGATAGTTAAAGATATAATCGGGATCGACGAACATTTCATTAAGTGGATAAAAGCAAAGCCAAGTCTTCTTCTCATTAATTAAACCACATAACTCGTTCATCTTTGTGTTTAAACATAATTTAAGTTCATAAACCAATCATAAAAACCCCCCTTATTACTAGTTATAAAAAGAAAAGCATTCATTTCCCTGTGGATACGAACCTTACTACGCTATACTACGTATAAGTGTTGTATTGAACTTATTTTGAGTGCACTCACGACAAAGTGCACGTCAAATTTGGCGCCGTTGCCGGGGACAGGCAATTATTTTTCTTTTTATTTTATTTCAAGAAAAATCAAAAAAAAAAATAATTAACCAAAAATATAAAGAGTTCTTATTTTTCTATTTCTGAGCTTTGTGAAGTATATGGTCCGATATCGTTCTATAAACGAAATCACTTATCAAGCAAACCCCGAAATAGAACAAGCCTTCGAGAGGTTGAGAAATTTAATTCCGCACATACCCTCGGAGGAAACCTCAAACGCTAGCTCCAGTTCTAGCGAATCTGAAGAGCCAATTACTATGGCTCAAGAAACAAGAACCTTGAGGGAGCTCACAGCTCCGAACTTGAATCAACAACCGTTATGTATTACCTTCCCTACACTCAACGAGTGTAATACATTCGAGCTAAAATCTGGGCTCATTCATCTTTTGCCATCCTTCCATGGCTTAAGAGGAGAGGATCCGAATAAACACCTCTCGGAATTCCATGTTGTGTGCACAAGCATGTGCCCTAATGGAGTCACCGAAGAGCAAATCAAATTGCGGGCTTTCCCATTCTCACTCAAGGACACCGCAAAGGATTGGCTATTCTATCTTCCTTCGGGAAGTATAGACACATGGGCGGCAATGAAAAAGGCTTTCCTTGAAAGGTACTATCCCGCCTCTGTCTCCTCATCACTCAAAAAGCAAATCAGCAATGTGGAGCAAAATGATGATGAATCGTTCTATGAATATTGGGAACGATTCAAGAAACTTTGTGCGAGCTGTCCGTATCATGGCTATTCGGAGCAAGACCTCATTTTATACTTTTATGATGGTCTTTGCAACGATGATAGACGGATGATTAATGCCGCGTGTGGAGGAGGAATCGTTAACAAGACTCCTTCTCAGGCTATGAATCTTATCTCGGAGTTGG